AAAAATGTTCCGGAGGGCTTGGCAGTGAAAGGGTTAAAGAAGAACTCCTGGCAGAAATACTCTTAGGGCTTGTTCACACGATTTTCTGGTCCAGATGTGGAGCAGATCTGCAGACGCGGTGCTATGCGCGCAGTGCGTTTTTTGACGCGTTTTTCATGAATTTTTGAAGCGTTCCAGTTTTTTTTTTTGGGAGTGGGGCTGTCAGTATGTTAGCTGCATTGCGGTGCATTTTCGTTGCGTTTTTGACGCGTTTGTGGCATGCAGTATTTTCTCTGTCCGGAACGGACTGCACACGTGAGAACTGTAGTCCATAAAACACATAGGGATACATTGGGATGCATTATGGGTGCAAGAGCGCACGGTTCTGGTCCGGACACAATCCGGACGTCCTGTGAACAAGCCTTTAGGGCTTGTTCACACGATTTTCCGGTCCCGATCTGGCCTGGATCTACAGACGCGATGCTCTGCATGCAATGCGTTTTTTATGCGTTTTTACCGCGGACCGGACGCTGGCAGTTAGTTTTTTTTTTAAGCTGTGGGGCTGTCAGTATGCAGATCACAATTCAAATTCAGCATACAGCTCTGAGGCTATTTCTCTCCAGTTTTGATTTTTTTTAATGCACATTTTTGAAATATGGATGACGAGGGCCTTATAGTATTGGCGCTCGCTCCATCAATCCGACAAACCTCTCTATGTCCAGGAACATGTTGTTCATGCCTACTGGTTTTCCCTCTACTGCTCCACCACAACCAGGAAGTCCAAAGATGACGGCATCATGAAAAGTTTTTACACATATTCTGAGCTTTTTTGTTGCATTTTTGACACGTTCGTGACACGGTCGTGACCTGAACGGACTGGGCACGTGAGAACTGTAGCCCATAAAACACATAGGGATACATTGCCTTTTTAGTGCAGGAGCGCACGGATCTGGTCAGGACAGAATCCGGACGTCGTGTGAACAAGGCGTTAACCTTGCAGCGGGTCTACCCCCGCACTGGAAGGGATAAGTGTTCGTTTTTGTCTAGAGACAAAAATAAAAAGTATCTACTCACCAGAACCTCGGACCCAGCTGGCTGCAGGACCAGTCTTTGCAGCCTCTCTCCTCCTCTGCTCCAGCGATGGAATGAACCTCAGCGTCCTCATGTCCTGTACACTGTATAGGAATTGATGACTCACAGGGCCTTAGAGCAGAGGAGGAGAGAGGCTGCAAGGACCAGTCTAGCAGCCAGCTGACTGCGAGGTTCACATGGGTATATATTTTTTATTTGCATCCCTAGATGAAAATGAGCACTTAACCCTTGCAGTGGGGGCTAATGTATATAGAGAGGGGGGGGCAATGTATATAGAGAGGATACCTGCGGTTCAGCGGGGTAGCCCCACTGCAGGGGTTAAGAATATTTCTACCTGGGGTTCTTCTTTAACGTCCCCAAGTAGTTACTATCAAAAGTGTTTTACTACAATAAAGCTATTATCTTAGGGGGAATCTGATGCAAAGTGGGAAACTCTAACTAATCCTTTATGGGTTTTTTTTTTGCCTGGGTCCCCCCCCTCCAAGCCCATACCAGACCCCTGTCTAGGATAAGAATCTGATATTGATTCTGGGGGGAGGGGGGGGCACACATAATTTTTTACTTTTTTACAGTTTACGTTTTTCACATTTAGATCGGGGTGCTTCAAGATTTAGCAATTTTTACTTTTAAAGGGCATTAAAAGTTTGGAATTCTACAGACCGTGCCTGGTAGACATGCAGTTAGATCAGAAAGGCATATCATTTTCCAACTCTACTATGCAGTAAGCAGAGTCTGCATGTTTAAAGGAGAACTATGGGGTCAGGGCTTTTCCCCATAGTTCTCCTTAGGGTAACGTTCCCTGCTGTGTCTGTGGATAGAAATAGGGACACAAGCACTCCAAATGCAGATCAAATGCGTCTATTTATTGACGTAGATGCAGCATATTACACTGGTGCAATGTTTCGGGGTCTTGCAGAATCCCATTCCTCAGGCATAACATGTTTTTTTTGTCTGTGCGTGTTTGTGGAGACAGCTTACTAGCACAAACAAGGGAGTCTCCATAGGACCCTGCAAGGAAAATGAGCCTCCTTAAAAAGGGGTATCAAAGCCAGTGCTCAGGGTACCAGCTGATTCTACAGGAAACAATAACTTTTAAACATCGAGGAACAGAACCCATTGTAAGTGATTTAATCGACATTCAACGTAACATAAAAACATTTTGACTTTAGTATCACTTTACATGCTATTATTGTCCAAATAACATAATTTATGCAAACAGTCATAGCATTTTGGGCAAATTCGAGAATGACTTTAAGAATGTTCTTATCTGTGTACTGAGCCCCGTTTTGCTCCTGGAAGCCATAAAAAGTTGAATGGGATATGATGCCTGATTTATGTCCTTGGCCTTTTTCTAATACTCATGCTTAAGATGCCTGTACTAATTACTGTTGCCTTGATTTTTTTAGATCACACCAAATATTCCTGGCCCCTACCTTTTCTACATCAAAAAAGAAGCTGAAACGAGTCCTACAATTGGAAACATTGTACTTAATGACACTTTAGACTACAGGTTGAACACCTTTTACCAACTAAGTATCCTGGCCAAGGTAAGATAATTAACATGTAGTAGGTATCTAGTTACTTTCAATTTCTACTTTTCAAGTTGCTTTACTGTAATATTCAGTGTTAAGTCTTTTGTCTTGCGATGGTCGTATGCTTATTGAAAGCTCGTACGATCGCGGGATTTCCCACGATTCTCGTACGAGAATCGGACAGTGTATGGGCACCTTTAGGCTGGGCACACACCTTACAACCATCGCAAGACAGATCGTCCTTGCAATCATCGCAAGCCCGCTCCCCTTAGGGGCGTGCTTCCGTTGACTGCAATGCTGAACGGGCAGTGTGCACATGCGCAGACCGGCCCGTTCGGCAGTTATCCCTGGAGCATGATTCAAACCAGCCGAAAATCGCACGGTTCTCAGCTGGTTTTCGAACATGCTTGAAATACAAAAGTCGTGCGACAGTAGAAATGGTCGCACGCCTTCCATACACTGCACGATTCTCGTACGATCGTGGGATTTCCCGCGATTCTCGTACGAGAATTGTGCAGTGTATGGGCACCTTTATACATCTGTTTTCCAGGGAAGGCCAGTGATAGGTGACAGTGACCAATAAAGGGTTTACAACAGCACATATAAACAGGTCTTGTTAGATGACATAGCATGAATGACATAGAATGACATGGGCCACTTTAAACGCAAAAAGCCTCAAAGGGCAAGGAGTCATTTAAATGTTAGATGCCTCTGTACAACAATTAAAGAAGGAAGAACTTCAACTGAACAATTTATTCTTGACTTTCTGAATAATTTTATATTCTTTTTTCCTTACATAGTAAGATTTATGTTGGAAGGAGTTAGCTCCAGGGTGTATGATTCTCATCTTTGGTTCACAACTTTGTGAGCTATTAACCTGAAACAAGCAGGTCATCATTCTCAGCCTCCACATTTATTTGTTGTTAATGACTCACTAGGTAGTGAAGCCTAGCCTGGTAAAGTCTGGTGTTTGCACCTCTAAAATAATTAAAGATTGGCCTCTCCCAAATTATATTTCCTGACAGCTTCCCTTTAAAGGAGAACTATGGGGTCAGGGCTTTTCCCCATAGTTCTCCTTAGGGTAATGGGAGGACACAAACTAGCGTCCTCCCGTCACCATAAGCTCAGTATACCGCGAGCTACAGCTCACGGTATACTGAGGCGCCGGAGCGTATCCCGACATCGATGTCGAGATCTGCCCAGCTGCGTGAGTGACAGCTGGCTCTGCCTATCTAGAGGCAGAGCCAGCTGTACCCGCCCCCTCCACCGTCCGTTCCGCCAGTCAGCGCTGGTGGATCGGAGCGGGGAGGGGGCAATCCAGCCCCTCGCCTGTCACGGCAGAGAGCCGTGACAGGGTCGAGAAGTGAGCGAACACCGGTATGTGTTCGCTCACTTCCCGATCTACTGAGCCGACCTGTGACAGTCTCATTGTCACAGGTCGGCTAGAACTATGAGGTGAGTGAAAAGCACTCACCTCATAGTTCTCCTTTAAGATGGATTAGCAGTAAATAATTTTGCTAAATGTATTGGCATTATTCTGTTTTATTTGTTACTATTGAAGATATTGTTATTACAGTGGTTAATTCATATTTATATTCAAACTTTTAGGACCAAGGTGGGATACTCAATGGTATATATATTCAACAAAACTCAACAGCCTATGTATCTATAAATGTTCGGGACGTGGCAGATTTAGGCCCTGAATTTATTGGAGCTCCTTATGTGACTTCTATTTATGAAAACACTGGACTAGTAAGTAATCCCTCAACACCGCTGGGTGTAACCATGCCAGAGAGCAGAGCATCATATAATGGGGAGTTATGCATAGGCCTGTCACCCTAGCCGAATTACTAGGAGGTTTATGGCCAGTGGTGCATCCTGGGGGAAGACATACATATTCAGGGCTAACCTTTTGAGTGTTTTTGCCCCCTGGTTCTCCTGCCTGTGGGACGGTGTGTTATGTGTGTGTTGTCTTGACCAGGCATGGACTTTGGGCTGGAGAACCATAGAGGAACATTCTCTGCTGAAAGTGCCTGAGGAGCCAGGATGGGCTTGGACCTCAGGGTGGTCCGAATCCATCTTTCCAGTCAGGATGTGGTACAACCGCATCACACTGCGCTGTGCCCATAGAACTTAATGAAATAACACTTATGACATTTTAATAAAGTTCTAACAAAAAAAGTGTGATGCTCTGTGATCAGTGCATCAGCACTGTGTTTGGGGAAAACACACCAGCAGCTATGCATTGCATTGCAGCTGTTGGTGTGAATGCAGCCTAAATGGCGGACCATGGTGCAGAAGTGGACTGAGTGGCTGTTCTGTTTGGACCGCTATTCGGACCATGGCTCAATGTATAGTTTACTCACCAGACCTCGTTGAATATTAATTTACCACTACCCTTGCTCTAGACAACAAAGTATTGCAGGTAGACTAAACTCTTAAGTTGCTATTGTGATAAGCAATCTACAGAGTTGTAAGAACCCCACAGGGAATGGATAAAATAGTGGCACTGGACACACTGCTCCAAAAAGGACATTCTAAAGTAGGATATACACAGGTGGATTTTTTAACAGACATTCGTACGAAAAATCCCATCACACCAATCAATGATACCATCATATGCTTGGCGACTGTCGTTCGAAATTTCGTTTGATTTTCATTTGCATTTAAAGTGACATTAAAGTCACCAATCCCCCAGCAATCCCTCCAGCGCTAGTCTCGGTCTCTGATCCAGCGCAGACCCCTTGTGTCCCACGGTGTCTGTCCGATGTGCGCGCTCACAGCTGCATGCATTCAGCTCCACTGTGTCTCTCCTCTTCCCCCCGCCAATGATCTCTACTGCGTATGCTTCAGATCTACAGCTGGGAGAGAGCGGCAGAGAGCGGTAAGATTTTACCTTTTTGGTAACTTTTATATTTTTAAAAAATATGTTTGCATATATCTACTGTTTGCTAGCAGTATACTGTATATATGCAAAAAAAGGAGACTTTCATTCTACTTTAACATTTGGTTTTTGAATGAATGGAGTTTTTTGAATGAAAACCACATTCACTGTTAGAATTTAATATGTTTGAGAAAAAATTTCAACATGCTCCTTTGAAAATTTTTGAGAACATTGAAGTTTTTGTCTGTCGGTTGCACCATACTAATTGATAAATATTCAAACGAATGTTCCGAAAACCAATTTTAACTCTGCCCAGCTGTCATTTGTGGGGTGAAAAGCCGGCAGGCCGTTCGCCCCGCTCCAGCTGTCACTTTGGCTCAATCCAGCCGAAGCATATGCTTTTGGCTCAGCTGAGCCTTCGGCTGCTGTACGGGCTATAGTGAATAGCCCGTAGAGCAGCACATCGGTTCGACTGAACCGAAGGGCTCCGGCGGCCAAAGAGAGCTGACGGATCAGCCAAAGCTGCGGCTGGATCATTCGGCTCCTTACGTACAGTGAAGAGTATTGTATTATTGTGTGCATAGAGCAATGAACGTATTTTATTTAATGCTTATAGTGCTGTTTTATGATTGAATCTTTACTTTTCAATGGAACATCCCCTTTTCCTATCTTATAATAAACCACTGTCTCACTGATCTCTTTGATTGGTTTTTTTTCTAGGGCAAAATTGTTCAAAAAGTTTCAGCCATTGATGCAGACAGAGGAATTAATGATAAAATCAATTATTCCATCAACAGTAAGTATACCAACTCCCTGGAATTTTGTATAGGAGGTTTCAACTGAATATAGAATTTCCATTTGAATGTCTTTTGCTTTCAGGTTCCACAGTGAGTGGTCTCTTCAGTATAGATTCGTTGACTGGAGAAATTAATGTAACTGGCAGCATAGACAGAGAGGAATTACTGGATTATGATGAACAAATTATACTGACTGTGATGGTAAGTGTCAAATTTCAGATCCAACTAGAACTACTGTGAATGTAAGCATGGTCTATGATACAGTTTTGAAAGCAAAATATTAGACATGGCGATACATCAATATTATTAAAAAGTTAAGGTAATAGATGAATATCATTTCTCTACTGAGAATTTTCTCGTTAATCAAGATTTCATCTACAAGCTATTTGAGTTTGTCTTTTTATGCAGCTATCTGAATTGACATATTCTCAGCACTAGCTTTGGAGGCAGTATTTGGAACACACCGATTGTGACGCCTGCCTGGAATGTGATCTTCAGGGCTGGGCTCTGCTTGTGATGCTTTCCGGAGCCCAGTGTACTGTGTTAGTTTTAGCTTCAGAATGCGTTCCAGGTATAAGGCTTATATGGAAGTTATTGGTCATAAAAGGTGTATGGGGATCCGGGTACTGCCCTGGGGACAGGAATCAATAACAAAAAAACTTTTAAGCAATATCGTTTTTAAAGGAGCAGTGGTTTTAACATCACTTAAAGGGTAACAATAAAAATGAAAAATTCCTTTAAATATCGTGCCTGGGGGGGTCCCCTTGAACTGCCTGTAAAGTGGCACATCTGTACAATGTATAGAACCTGCTGCAGCCAAACTGACATTTCTTAAGAAATTTTTTTTTTTTTTTTTTAAAGCGTGCAGTTCCCTCTCCAAAACAATAGCAGACAGACCCTTTAGGCTGGTAGGAATGTTAGGAGGGACCACATTTTTTAAAAAGCGTGAGGTTCCCCTCAAAAGTCATACCAAACCCTTAAGGTATAGTAGGAATATTGAGGAACCGCATGTAAAAAAAAAAAAGTGTGTGGGCTTCCCCCCTAAAATCATACCAGGCCCTTAAGGTCTGGTAGGAATTTTAGGGAGGAACCCCACCCCCAAAAATGTGGGGGAAAATGTGGGGTCCCCCCTAAAATTCTATACCAGACCCTTGATCCGAGCATATGCCTGGCAGGGCCGGAAGGGGGGGGGGGGAACGAGCGAGCGCGCCCCCCCCATACCAGGCCACATGCCCTCGGGACTTGGAGGGTGCTTTTCCAGGGGATTGGTTGTCGACCCCCCTTGTGAATGAGTAATGCCGGTAACATATAAACATTTGGGCGGAGCTAGCAGTGAAAGCTAGCTCCGCCCAACTGTTTACAGTTGTGACAGGTGAGCCATGATTGGGCAGTTCTCTGTGCCCTGATTGGGCAAAGTCTTGGGTCAGGTGCAAGGCTTTAGCTAATCAGGGCTCACAGGGCACGGTGCCTTGTGCGGGATGCTCGGAGGACGAACAGCCCGCCCAAACACCAAGACAGTTTGTTTGTTCGCCGAACACACAAACTGCCGATGTTCGAGTTGAACTCACGTTCGGCTCGAACGTCGACCCCAACACTAGTCCAGAGCTGTGGCACAGCCTTTGATGTGACCCAGTCACTAAAGATTAATTAATGAGTAAGCTATGTGGACTAACCACCTTAGCTACTTTGTTCATTAGACCGTTTGGGCACCATTATTATCCCCTTTTTCCCACAGGTTTCCATTGGAAGGGATAAGAAGTAAGGAATTGAGTGCTGCATCACTAGCTAGTCACTAGTGTTGCAAATGCACAGTACTCACTTTTTATCTGCCATTCAGCATGAGGTAGCACCTTCCAGTCACTGACCCTAATCGCAAGAGACACGCGGTTGCACCTCGGTTAGTACTTTCTCCCGCTTATTGTGGCCTGGTCGCCTTTGAAAGGTCTCTTGCTTCCAGCAGTCGGATCCCAAACACAAGAGAAGCAGAACTGGTGCACTTCGGCTCATGAACCACTAACAGTTCTGGGGCAGCCTGAAGTGCTCCCCATCAGGGGCCTCAAACAGGAGAATTTCTCTGCATTTTTTCTTGATTCATTGGGCCAAATTGCAATTTTATTTGCTGACTATGCAGAGGATATGATGTAGAATCCACCAGTACTGTTACCGATGTAGGATCCATAACAAGCTCTAATTCTACTTAAACCTCTCATACTCAGCAGTGTACCATCCTGATGATTCCTGTAGAGAATACACCACGATTTAAATATCCCACAGATAAACATTTGGAGTCTCTCTCCAAAGCCTTGTTTTCTCCAGCAGGCCCTGCATTGCAGCCTGCCTTGGCTGTAATGTTAGTCTGTCAAGGGATCCAGCTTTACTCCTCACTAATCTGCATTTACATTGCATGCCAGGAACAACATCTCTTTGGAGCTGCTTTATACACCATCATCAAGGATGTTACTGTGTGGTGAGTAGAGGGTTGCCACCTTTTCTTCCATCGAAACCCGAACACTCTAGCGACACACGGAAATTTTCTTGGAAGAATGAGTTGCTGCTTTTTCATATGTAAATAGTGCCACCCCTTCATATGTAAATATCACAGTTGAAACTATTTTCAGTGGGGGGCCAGTAGCCCCTATCTTAATTTTGGTTTCTCCTGTGTGCCTGACATCTTGTGTCCGGATTTCTGCTGCCATGAAACCCGAACACAGCATTCAAAACCCGAACTGCCCGGGTGAATCCTGGACAGGTGGCAACCCTGGGTGAGTACCGTACACTAGCTCAGCAGAAGAAGCTTACACTTTAAGCTGGAAAAAAAAATAACCCTCCCTCAGGCCAGATTAAGTTCATGTTGTTGCTCCCTCTTCACCTTCTAAGGCAGGGGTAGCCAAACTCCGGTCCTCCAACTGTGGTGGAACTACAAATCCCATGAGGCATTACAAGATTCTCACAGCCACAGACATGACTCCCGGAAAGAGATGCATCATGGGATTTGTAGTTTCACCAGAGCTGGAGGGCTGGAGTTTGGCTGCCCTTGTTCTAAGGCAAAATCCAAGCCAGGAACCCAGTTTCTTTGCAAGTGCTGGACTTCTACATCCTCCAAATATGCAGGCAAGTCACCATTGGCATTAGGGATGCAATGATACAATTTTTTCCAGACCGAGTGCGAATACCAATATTTTTCCTTAAGTAATTGCCAATACCAATTACGGATACCTTTTTATTGTGTTATGCTACAGTTTTTCTAAAACAATACAGACTAATGATTTTAGGACAGTGGTGGAGCACTAGGGCCCAGTCACAGCTGCAACCACTGCAACCCTGGTAATTCTGCCACTGACCCCAAAGCTTTAGAGCGAACTCTCAGCAATACATTATATAGCAATGCAGAATACCACTAGCTATAAAGGAATACAAATCTCAGCAATACATTATACAGCAATGCAGAATACCACCAGCTATAGAGGACTACAAATCCCAGCAATACATTATACAGCAATGCAGAATAATACCATTAGCTATAGTGGACTACAAATCCCAGCAATACATTATACAGCAATGCAGAATAATAGTATAAGAATTTGCTACATACTCTGTGCTGCTGTTCTGCTCCTCAATTTGAAAGTTTAAAGTATCCGTATCGTTTTTTTTTGTATCGGGGCATTTTAATGAGTACGAGTACTCTTGAAAATGCCCAGCATAAGCACTTATAGAGATACATATAGAGATTAGCATAAAGGGGCACTTTCCAATGTAGGGGATGAATGTTAGCAATGTAGGGGGTTATCTGTTAGCATTTGAAGACACTTGGACAGACAGCATCTCAGATGCCTGGGTAAGGGAGGTGGTTTCAATGGGCTACAAACTACAGTTCTCGCAAACCCTTCTTCACTTCTTGTTTTCCAATTTTCCTGTGTCACTGCTCAGATAAGCAGACCTTCATGTAGCCCTTGAGAGTTATTTGTAGATCGGGGTTATTGACTTTGTTCTTATAGCTGAAAGGGTTTAGGCATTCTCTTCCAACCTTTTCATAGTTTTAATCCACCCCATCTTGGATCTCAAGGGCTTGAATATCTTCATTTGTTCTCTAATATTCTGTATGAAGTCCATCAGTTCTGTCATAGCCTTCTGATATCCTTGGAAGATTAGTCCTAGACACCTTAGTCCTAGACACCTTGTTCCTGCAGGGTAATTGGTTGCTGTTGGAATCCCAGCACTTGATCAACATTCTGGAGCTCTGGCAGTGGCATACATCAACCATCGGGAAGGAATGGCTCTTGCTGTGGCAAGAGAAGTAGGAAGAATCCTTTCCTGGGCAGAACTTCACGTTCCAGCCTTGCTCACTGCTCACATTCCAGGTGTGCACAATTGGCAGGCTGTCAGCAGATTGGAGACTGGAGTCTGTATGCGAGGTTGCCACCCATACTAAGGTGCTCCTACCCAAGAAGCAGTGATGTAGTATGCCCTCTTGGAATAGTGGCAACCGGGATAGATAGGCATGGTATCCGAATCGGCAAGCAAGGTCGTAGTCTTATCTGTAGTCGTAGGTCTAGGCTAGGGACTACTAGAGGCAAAGCTCTGCAATATCCAAGCTCCATTTTGTGGAGGAAGTTCGTATTTATAAGCATTGGTGCTTTCATGATATCACCGGAGGAGGAGGAGCCATTAGTTACAATATTGTGTACTGTCCCTTTAACAGTGCACACAGTACCTGCACACTCACCTAGCATCACAGTGTTGTCACCAGCAAGGGGTGCTGAAGAGCAGCTGAGCTCAAATAGGAGGATCAACACCATTTTCCCTGACACAGTGGCCCCATGGGTATAGATGTGACATCCAGGCCGTGTTCATGGGAGGATTCATGGCCCACGGCAGGTAAGTCCTTATACAGGCAGTCTTCATCATCCAGCAGCACTTGGACACAGGGGAATGGTCCCTACCCCCAGAGGTATTCCAGAATCTGTGCCACATTTGGTGGATGTAGGAAGTTGACCTCCTTGCCTTGGGTTCAAAAACAAACAGGACAGGCTTGTCTCCAGGTACAATGGCAAGCAGCGGATGCTCTAGTGACTTTGTGGCATCAGTACAACCTGATCTACACCTTTTTTCCTCTGAAACTTTTTCCTGATGTGCTCTTGAGGACCATGATGGAGGGCATACTGGTAATACTCATAGCTTCAGACTGACCATGGTGTATGTGGTACTCTGACCTGGTCAGACTCCTGGCAGATGGGGGTTCTTCTGGATTGACCAGATGTTTCACAGTTGCTAGCTTTAACAACATAGCTGTTGGAGGCCATGTCTTGAGGGACAGGGGCCTCTCTGATTTGGTGAACCCCATGATGTTAAAAGCTTGGAAAATAGTTTTCCATAAGGTCTACAATCGCACTTGGGAAGCATACTTAGTTTAGTGCGTTGAAATACATTTTCATCCCAGAAAATACTCCATAGGATGAATCCTGACCTTTTTCCGATCAGGCTTAGATCAACAATTGGCCCTATCAAGGTTCAGATCTCAGAACATGTGATCTTATTCCAGAGACCACTAGCCCCCCATTCTTTGGTTAAGACATACAGTATATCTCTCATGTAGTTCCCCCTGTGTGCCTTTCTGCGGCTCCATGGAATTTGAATTTTGTTCTCTTGGCTCTTCAAAAATCATACTTTGAACCTATTAGGGATATTCTCTTATCCACTCTTACTCACAAGGTTGGGTTACTTGTCACCATCACCTTTGCAAGAAGTATGTGAACTATATATGAACTGGTGGCTTTGTCCTGTGAACATCCTTTTCTAGTTTTAGATAATGACACAGTATTATTAAAGCCCAGATCCTGCTTCCTTTCAAAGGTAGTTTCAGCCTTTCACCTCAAGGGGACCATGTGCTTCTCTCTCTCTCTCTCTCTCTCTCCAGCCTTGGTGCATCAGATGTAGATTTCCCTTCTTTGTCTGGTTGTAGTTTGTGTTGTGTAGGTGTCCACCATGGAGCCACTACTTCCATCTCATCTGATGCTTGCATTGAGCTGCAGGCATTCCTCAATTGTTTTAATATTTTATTTTAAATTTGAGGGGGGCTGTTATTGTTTAGTTTACTGTCTTGCCTACCTCTTAGTTGGACTGATTTTGGACATTTCATTCTCTAAAAGCTGTTTCCATCAAGATACAATAAAGAAAAATAGATATTTGTACTTACTGTAAAATCCTTTTCTTGTAAGTTTGTCACATCCCTCTATGTCTTACTTACTTTTACTGTCAGCACTACTTGTTACAACACTGAGGCATGCTGGGAATGACAGCAGTATATCAGGCTGGTCACTGTTTTTTGTTTGTCAGTGTCCAACTTCTCTCGTAGTCAGTGGTATCACCCAATTGTCTCTATTTCTGGTATCTCTGTATCTCTATAAACATCCAGAACAAGGATTTTACGGTGAGTACAAAAATCCAGTTTTCTCAGTCTCACTTCTCAAGGTCTGTACACTGGCAACAGAATATAAACTGACCAAAAGAGTCTCAGGTGAAAACAAGATATTAAAAAAACACTGTCAATAATATCGTATTTCTCCACAATCAGATTCCTTTTTCCTACAAAATGGTAATTTCCATGCTAAATTATATATAAATCTGTTTGCAATGACAAATTATGAATAGGGATTCTCTAACATAGCAGGGTTAAAATAAAGGCCTATGGATACCTTATTGTTGAAAAAAGCAAAGGCTATGTTCTGTTATACAGTACTGTTTTAGATTACTTAGGTAGTTGGTTAACATAATGTATTAAAGAGTGGGTGGAGGACGCGGCTACTATGACTCACATGCGGAGAACATCAAGGCTGCAGAAGGCTGTGTGACCAGACAGACTCCACACTTCTTGCAGTGCCTGTAGTTTCTTGGTCTGGACTGGCAGGTTCTGGACTGGCAGGTTCTTGGAATACGAACAGCCTTGAACAACTGGTCCAAGTACAGCATAACTACAATTAAGATAAACACAGGCGATCCTACATCTTTGTCTATCCCTGGAGTCCCTCGACTTGTAGCCCCGGGGTCCTCAAGACAACTCTGGACGGAGTGGTTATGTCGGTGGATTAAAATCCCCGTCTCCACTCGATACAGGGAACTCTGTCCATATCCAGACACTTTCAGTGGGTGATTAGTCCACGATCCCCTGATGAAGCAGTGTATGAAACGCGTTGGAACTGGATATACTGATCTCCCACTGAATATATATACTGAGTATTAATTGAATGTATTTGGATATATGGGGATATAAGATGATTTATGGGCCTATGCTCCTGTTTAAAATTATGTTGTTTTTGGTTTAGTGCAAGTAATTTGTATACATGTTTTTATATTATTTATCATATGTAAAATAAATTCTATTTTTATACAAAAATTCCATGCTGTGGTGTTATACCTCTTTTTAAACCCCCGTTCTCTCTCTTTTTGTTACAATTGTTTAAAACCCAAGGGTGAGAGGTCACACCGGGGGGCTGCTGTGTTAGCAATTCACAATTGTGTGGTTAACATAATGTAAACTATTGCCTAATTCTTTCCCTCTAATGTTTACATAGAGCCAATCCACCTTTTAAACACTGTGGGTTTGATTTACTAAAGGCAAATAGGTTGTTCACTTTGCAAGGGAATTTCCAGGATACTGTAATGTGCAAGAAAAAATAAAGTTTTTAGCCTTCTTGCAGGAGATTGGGCATTCTTTGCACAGTGAATTTTCACCACATTTACTGAGCTAAGGGAAAATTCCCTTGAAAATTGACAACTACCTTGAAAGTAAACATCCTGTTTGCTGTTCAACTCCTGTGTAGCCATCTTTTTCTCTGCCCCAACAACTTTTTTTAAGCAACCAGTTCCATATTGCAGTTTCTCTGCATACCCTATGTAAACAAAATCTATTATTTATTCCATAGTAAAGGTTTCTGCCCAATAAACCTACAATAGACTTCTCTGGACAGTACCAGATGCTGGCTCTTTAGCTATTGTGTCTAATGTTTTTCTTCCTTCTACATTGCAAGTTCATACTATGAGGTCTCTTTTCCCCTTTTGTATTATACTGTATCTTTTTACTTGACATTGTTTGGACTCTGTAATTCCTACTCTTTTACTTTTGTGCAGCACCGTCTGATATAAATTTAGTAGAAGAATGTAGGTCACAATTGTGTCACGACAATCAAAGAGCCGACGTTTCGGGGCCCTGCGTGGCCCCGAAACGTCGGCTCTTTGATTGCCGTGACACAATTGTCCAATAAAAAGGACTTATTTATTTTTGAATTATTTTTGAGTGCTGGTGACCTACATTCTTCTACTTTGTGTTTTGCACGGTACCATCCGTGATAGTTACTGCGAGCACCACCTTTGTTAATTGGCCGGGACTGCTGAAAGGTGTGCGGAGAGCACCCCCACCAACTGCAACTTGATATAAATTTAGGACAATAATAATAATCCCTTCGTTACAATGTTTCCTAACAATGTTATGCCTTCTCTGTTAAATTTGTTGAAGTCATAAGGAAATGTGAAAATAAACACAATTTAGAAAAATCAATGCAAACATTCACGTGGTTTCATAATAATTATTCAGATTCATCTTTGTGATATTTGTGGGTTCTGTATATAATGAACAATTACATTAAAAAAAAATACTTAACCAATTAAGTTAAGCAAGGTTAAATATCCAAAAATGTTATGGTATATTTTATTTAGAAGATAGGCTAAACCACATCATAATGGTTTGCCTCGCTTTATACTTGAACAGCTAACATTTTGTTCTTCTACTTTACACAGGCCAAAGAAAAGGATTTAAATATATATGGACAAATTGCAGCAACAACTACTACTGTTACAATCCGTATATTAGATGAAAATGATAATAAACCTCAGTTTTACAACTGTGAGGTAACTGACTGTGATTTCAAAACTGACCTTGAGATAAACTTCTATGGAGAAGTAGAAGAACATTCATCTGTCCGGGTACCAGTGGCAAATCTCACCATCACTGCTAATGACCCTGATAAGGTACTCAACTTCCTGCCCTATGACCACACCTCCGATTATGTTGATGTTTATAACTAGTTGACTTAATTAACAAGGCAGAATAAAAAACTGTTAAACGGCTCAGAGTGACCCCTTCTTAATCGTACATGCACATCCAAGGTTAAATATATGCTGATTGAGCTAATCCATGTTGCCTCTAGGACCGTATTAGCAAACATTCAAGTGAACTGGCATAGAAGTTTGCAGCTTGGCCCTACTAGAGGACAATGAGAAACTTACATTGTCTGCAATGGCAAAATCAGTCTACTGTGGGCAATAACGGGGCACGTTCAGTCCCCTAGCTGTTTGCATTTGGCAACCAAAGTTGCTTGTACTGTGCAGTTATTTATGTGTATGACCAAACTAACTAGTCACATATCACTATCATCAATTTCCTAGTCACTAATCTTAATGCCTTATTGAATATTCCTGATTGGGTTTGAAAAGGTATTACAAATGTTTGATTATGTTACAAAATCATTGGGCTTTAGTCTATTGTGTGCAGGGTGGTTATACAGAAAACAGAAAAATGTGCTTGTAACTAAGTATATTTCAGGATCTATATAGGTGAGGCATTTATCCCCTGGTGCACGTTCAGACCTTTACCAGGCTGGTGGTGCTAAAAAAAATCCATATACTTGTTGTGGGGTGTCAAGAAAGGGAATAGTTATCTTTTACATCCTAGAGAGGGGGGCATTTATCAAATCAGTCAGACAGCTAAGCAATGATAAACAGGAGCCGATATAAAACAGACAGGGGATCTATTATAATTAAGCAGCTTTTTTCATATATTTCCTCTTAGCTGCTCTTTTACAGCACTGCAATAGAATAAAACTTGCTGCTGACCAAATCTTAGTTATGCATCTGTTTTGAAGCAACACCTGTCATACATTCAGTGGTAAATCTATTGCAGACCTGTGCAAATCTGTCACAGTTTGCTACCCAGGATAACAGGAGCAGGGTCACAAATGCACATAAAATCTAACTAGGGCTCTCTCTGTGTTTGGTAGAAACTGTGTGAAACACAAAAAATCTGCAGTGCAACTTTAACTTATACACATTCGACATGGTGCAGTCAGGCATACAAGTGTAAGTGTACTAATTCTTGCACATCTACTAATGCCATTATTGTTTATGGACAATGATGAAAAAACAAAAACAGATTCTACACTTTTCAACAGTGCTCCCAGAACATATAGATATAAATCAGTGGTTAGACCCTGCTTACTACCTCTTGCCTATCTGCAGTATGTAGAAGACAGCAGATTCTGCCACTAGCAACTGACTTCCAACAATCATATTACATCAAATGGGAACCCGACAAAAGAGGAAACAAAGTATATGTAAGCCCAATAACTAAAATCCCATGAAGGTGGAGGTGTTCTGTAGTTCACAAAGGTAATGCCTGATAAAAGTACTTTAGATAACACTATAAAGTGTGCAGGACAAAGGAAAACATCTGATTTCTGACAGGATCAACAGGTACTTTTGCACTTATCAAAGAGATATATTTAACTGAGCAAAACAGAGCAAAGGGTTTACATATACATTAATATTTTGAGAATCTTCATTTACTGTCAAAGGCAGCTCGAGTACTCAATCACTGTAAGACTTATTGTTGGCTCTTAGGTTAAGTAGTTTCTTGACATCGACATACATCTGTACACTTTCTTCATAAGCTACATACATTGTTATGGGTAGCTGCTAGTAATAAAACTCAACAAAAATAAGATCTACTACCTGTAAATTTAGGTTCAGCTTGAATTGTTTGCACCTTTTTATTGCTATTTTACTTTCTTTACTTTCAGGATCAGAATGGAGCCTTCAACCTGTATTTAAGGGGAAAGGATGCTGACTGTTTTACAGTATCTCCAGCACGAGTGATTAACACTGGTTTAGTCCAGGTTCTTATTAAAGATCCTGTGGCTATTGACTATGAAATTGTTCACAAGATGTATGTAGAGGTATGATAGTACATTAAAAAATGCACATGCTATCTGTTGTCTTGAGAATGAATGTTAAATGTGATGTATGATAGTCAAAGAAGTTATTTATTTATGAACACGTATGATTTACAGCCTTTAGGGTAAACGTAGGAAATCATTATGGTTATGGTAACTGCTGTCATGAACTCTCAAAAATTCCTTTCACTATGTATGTATAGTAAAGAACTGTTTATATCACTCAAAGCAACTAACCAGGTCTTCTAAAGATTAGACTAGGATTAGATTAGGATGAAATAACATAACAGTTCTTCATTCAGGGCCCCTTTACACATGTGCACATGTGGTATGCCATGCATTAAAGTAGAACTCAGCCCAAACTTTTTTTTCATTTTGTAGGGGAGATGGGGAGGGTTATAGCCCATGTTGGCTTTTTAGAACATCTGTGTTCCAGTGGGGAGATTTCCCTTCACTTCCTGTCCGATAGCCACAACACGAAGTGAGAGGAAATCTCCCCAAAGTGAGGGAAATCCCCCAGTGGTGGTCAGTGGGGTCACCAGAACTAGTGGTGAGAGTTGTAAGATTTCCCATCTATTTCTGTTCTGATGACAACCCAAAAATTGGGTCTTATTTCACTTTCAGTGATAACAATCACCAGGACAAATAGAGGGGGTGAATCTCCCTAATGGGGTATAGACAGCAATAAACAACCGACAGGCATTCTAATCCCTCTCTACTCTGTCCAAAGCTAGAAAAAAATTGGGTTCAGTTGCACTTTAATGTGTGTTTCATTAACCACACAACAACCCTCTTAACACTGGACAAGGGACCTTTTTTTAACACATCACAGCACAACACACATATGGTTTACATCTGTGTATTGAGATGTGACGCAACACATGTGTTTGGCTGTGTTTGCAAGCTGTGTTGGGGTGCCATTTAAAATAAATTGCACCATAACGCACCCCTAGCTGTGCTTTAGAGTAATGCAGAGTAAAACACTGTGATGCATAGATGCGAAGCTGACCTCAAGCTCTTTCATACATAAAGCTAACCAGACACATCATTAAATGTCATGCTTCATAATAATCAACTGAGCGCTTGTCAGCAGCATCATATACCACTATTCTCTTGAGTAAATAAATTACCTTATCCTTAGCATTTGTTAAAAATTCTGTTTTTTTAGCCCTTGGCCTAGGCACCCTAAATCACATGGTCATTGGCTATCATTACTGCAGGAAGTAAACTGTTTTAAGCAGCCGTAGGATAAGGTGCTAAGGTCCTCCCTCTTAAACATCAGAGTTCCCCCTTCACATCAGGATTCAGTTCAGTTCACATGAGATACCTGCCAGCACCTTGGAAGGTATCATACTGTACAAACATTTCGAGGCTCCCAAGAGGAAGGCAGAAGGCCTCACAATGTGCCACATCACTCTGGTTGAGGAAGGCTGGAATATTGAACCAAATAAAGCTTTAACGTTAATTTTAAAGAAACATAAAAAATGTTTGTGAAAGGGATGTCGGTTATTATTTTTGCTTATTCCAAGGCTGATAGTGTCTGTCATCTGAATTATTGGTGTGCTCAGTTATCTAATTGATGCTGCAGTAAACATAAGCACAAACACAATAAAATCTGCTATGACAGAAGCAAAATAAGTAAATAAATGGATCAATGACTACAGCTAAACAAAACTGCTAAATAAATAAATGGTTAAAACTGTTTTTCTAAATAAGGTCTGCATAAGTGGCATACTTCCTATTTAAAACCAAGTTAACTGTTTTATTGTTTTTACTTTTTTTCTGCATTAGATTGTGGCTAATGACACTGGCAATTCAGTTGATTGCTGCTCCATAGCTTATGTGACCATCGATCTGATAGACATAAATGATCACATTCCGGAATTTGCTGATCCAGTATATGAGCTTCAGGTTGAAGAGCATTGTCCAAATGGTACCATTATAAGAACAATTACGGTAAATAAAATGATCTTTATGTTGGGCACATACATTATCTACATCTTTATTCAGTGTGATCATAACTCTCAGTTACATTTATTTTTTAATTTCTTGCATATCTTCCAATCACACATATACTGTCTTTTTTTCTATTTCTTCTTGAAAGATGACCCAGCGATACAAATTGATTAAATGCCTTATACACTATAAAAAAAAGAAAACATATTAATTAAAAAATATGTGTGGGCAAAAAACAAAACAAAAACAGGAGGTTGGAGTGCAACTCTGGCAGATCAACTGATGCTTTCTGTACTTGCAGTGTATATGCATGTATAAGGGATGTACCGCATCTTGATAATTTATAAATGTCATATATTTCATACATGTAAATAGTTATCTGTAAGAATGTTTTTCCAACATTTGCAAGTTAAAGTGCACGTTAACCCAAAAAGAAAAAAATATATATTGTGTTTTTGTTTTTTTAATCAGATTTTTATTTTTAAATATTTTCCTCCAACAAACATCCCACAAAAAAACCCCATACAAATACATAAAAACAATTCAAACAATACACAAATAATAAACATACCAGCTAACATTTAAACACAAAAACAAATACATCAACCACCATATATACAATCTAAAAAAATTTGATCGTTGATATCTAATCACCTAAACACATATATACCTTTAGATCACTGCTAAAATACTCCAATTACAGCTTAGGCTCTCATAAACTTCCTTCATATGTCTAACTAACAATATTATAGAATAATTCACACATTCCTTTGTTGTATAGGGTATTGTATCCATCTAGACCAATATAAGGAAAACTTATCCTCTCCTATACCTCTATATTGATAAGTAGTACGTTCAAACATTACCATCTGATCTAACTTAGTCATCCATTCTGGTAGTGATGGTGGGGAGGAAGATATCAATTTCCTCGCCACCAGTCGCCTAGCAGTAAATAATGCTCTATGTATAGCCAATTTGGTGTATGAACTCATCGACGAGGCATCAAAAACTGCTAGTATGCATACTCAAGGTGTATTATATAACAATATGCCAAAGACTGAGTGTATGATCTTAAGCACTGCACCCAATATCTAACCAGTTTTGGACATGTTCACAATAGATGTATCAGTGAACTTTGGTGAAAACCGCATTTTGGACATGAAGGATTGTTCCTGACACCTATTTTGAACAGAAACTCTGGAGTGCAATAAGTCCTATGTAAAATAAACAATTGAGTAACTCTATGGGAAATGGATAAGGATGCCAATAGAACAGCCCTCTCTACTTCCCTCTAGTCCTCATCTGTAATAGGGCTTAGATCATCTCCCCACTTACTCCTAACACTCAAAGCTGGTTGTAATATCGAGTTAGTTATTAAGTGGATATATGCATAGGAAATAATGCCCTCGGTATTGCAAGCAGCAACCAGGATATCCAAAACCGGTGTTGAATGGAACTCTGGGGAGGCACTAACAAATTGGGAATGTCATACCATGTCTAAGTTGCAAATATTGGTAGAAAGCAGTCCGAGGCAATCCAAATTGGGAGTGCAATTGCTGTAATGAACAAAAGGTATTATGAAACTATAACAGAGCGACTGTACATACCCCTGCCCGCCACCAGTTCCTACAGCCCTGCAACTTGGATAGCTCTGGAAGTCTACTATTGTTCCAAATCGGGGTATATCTAGCGAGACCTGAAGTTCGTAAAAGTCGTTTAGTCTATTCCCATACATGTTCCATTAAACTAATTGTGGCAAGGTGGGAGAACTTTTTAAAAGGCAGATCTGTCTCCACTAAACCCAGAGGATTATAACCATCAAAAAGCTACTGGAGAGAAAGGAATGATTGTAAATGCATCTCCTCTCATTCCCGACCAGCAAAGTGTTGTAATTGGGAAGCAAGAAAATAGAGCCAGAGATTAGGAAGAGCTAGGTCTCCCAAATCCCTGGGTCTTTGTAGAGTCTCCAATTTCAATCGAGCTTGCTTTCGTTTCCAGATAAGGTCCCTGAATATACTGTCAATTTGCCTAAACATCTTAGAAGGGAGCCAAATTGGAGAATTATGCAAATAATATAATAATTGTGGCATTTAGATCATCTTGATAAGGTTAACTCTCCCAGCCACTGAAAGGGGCAATTTACACCAAGCATCCCGCTGGGATCTAAATTTATTTAATAATTGGAACACGTTAAACTTGGCCTATTCTGCCAATTGCGGAGACAACTGTATACCCAAATAAACAATTTGAGCACATATGGGGATGTAAGATAGATCAGCTGACAATGGATTTGGCAAAGGATTTATGGGAAGTAGTTTAGATTGATCCCAATTAACAAAAAGACCTGAATATATAGCTATATATCTGTACCATGACAGTACGCAGAGCTGACTCTGTGTCTGCCAGGAAAAGCAGTGTGCAGTCTGCATATAATGCAGGTTTCTCTTCCTCCAGGCCTCTTTTAAAGCCTATAATGTTTGGAGACTGTCTAATTATAGCAGCTAAAGGTTCTATGGCCAATGCAAACAGTAAGGGAGAGAGGGGGCAACCCTGTCTGGTGCCCATCTGTAAACAAAAACCAGGGGAAAAATAGTTATTAATCCTAATTTTAGCCAAGGGAGTATACATAGTTACATAGTATTTGAGGTTGAATAAAGACATTAGTCCATCAAAGGTATAAGTATGGTATAACAAATGTACCAACGCACCACACCCAAATCGAGAAAGAATGGTCCATAGGTACCTCCATTTAACACTATCAAATGCCTTGGCTATATCCAAAGCCAAAAATTCTCTATTACCAGTATTATCTATAAGCACTTCTATATTTAAAGAGACTCTTCGTATATTGATAGCTGTAGATTTATTAGGTAAAAAAATAGCTTGATCTGAATGCATAATAGATTAACTTTTTTTAGACAGTCTATTGGCTAACACTTTAACCAATATTTTGACATCATTATTCAACAATGAAATCAGTCTATATGATTCTGGTTGAAGGGGATCTTTGTGTTTATTAAGAAGCACAATAATAGTGGCCATATACATAGTACTTGGAAGGTGTCCCAGATCTAATGCTCTTTGAAATGTTTGCACTAAGAGATGCAGAATAGATTGTTTATAGTTCTTATGCAATTCTATTGGCAACTTATCAGGACCTGGGGCCTTATCATTCAGGATACTAACAAGCGCTTGTATAGTGATAGGAGCCTCTAGATCCAAGGTATCTTCAGCAGATATGGTGGGCAAACTTATGTCTGACAGATACCTTGCCAATTAAGCATCCGAATATGCTGCTTTAGTAGCATATAAAGATGCATAAAATTGAGAAAAAACATTCAATATTTATTGATTATCTATGCAAAGATAGTTGGATGCATCCCTGATTGACCCTATATAAGATGGTGCTTGTTGAGAGCGAGCAATCTGGGCCAGAAGTCTACCCGAGGCCTCTCCCTCCGCCCAAAACACTCTCCTTGTAAAAAATAATTAATTTTGTGACCTTGTATGTACCAGAGATACAAGATCATTTGTGGCCTTAGTCCACGCAGCTTGTGTAGCATCAGATGGATATGATATAAATGTTTTTTCACTATCTACAACTGCCTGTCTCGCTAACCTTTCACGTTGTCTAGTAGCTGACTTGATTCAACTCACATATTTATTGCATAGACCTCTAAGATAGGCCCTCACAGTATCCCATACACCAATCCCAAAACAGAACCTTCATTAAGCGACCAGAAGAAATAAATATCTTCTTCTAGTTTCGCACTGTCACCTATCAGTGATAACCAAAAGGGGTTTAAACGCCACGGTATAGAGGTAATTCACTCCTTAGAAAGTAAGCTCACATTATTTCAACAGTCGCCATAGTATACACACATATATGGCAACAGAAATGTCACCATACAGCGAATATACACACCAATAATAACTTTCCCGTCTGGTAGACACACTGTCCGTGTAAGAATCAACATTCTAAGCAAACAACAATAATTGGTGGATGAAGAAAAAAAACTAAACAAAATATATACATGAATAAAAATTGAACATTAAAAAGAAAATAGCAAATCTACACAAAAACACAGAACAAAACACAAAACCAAACAAAACATCCAGAGCATCGCAACCCCACCAGGTATGTCGGATAAACTATCCGCCCCTTGTACCCCAGCATTCACCCAAAAAGGGTGCTTGCTGGGGCACATTACCCGATGGAGAGGTGAGTGATGGCCACTCCAAAAACCAACCCGGGAGGGTAGACTTCTTGTTTTCACAAAGAGAGGGAAGAGAGAAAGAGAGAGAGAAAAAAAAAGAGAGAGGGGAACCTCCACCTCCCCAAAAATCTCAGTGTGCTCCCCATTATTACAAATGTCCCCCTATACACTACCCTACACCCCAGCTCCCCAAATTCATCCCCCCTACCCCCCAATCCCTACTGTACCCCACACAATCACCCGTCCCCATGACACCTTGATTTAAGAGGGAGTATTCCAATCTCCTCCCATTAGCCTATCTCAAAATCCTTACATCCATGTGGTTCTTCCCTCATAACCCCTGACCCTTTGGCAATTCCATTTGCCATACATTATCTTTACCCAATGTGTCAATACTATCCCCCCCCACCCTATCTTGCCCATCCCCCCTCCCTATCCCATCCTTCTCACCCTTACCAATAATCCATATAATACCTTCATTAATACCCCGTATAAGATTATCCAAAACGTTTACTCCAAGTGCATTTATTAACCCCTTCCCCTTTATAAAATTCCCCTCTCCCTCACCCAAAAAAAAAAAAAAAGAAACCCTTCATATATTATATATTCATTTGATTCTTTATCTCCTTTTATGTCCCTTTTTGTTGAGAGATACCCTGGTCCATCGATGTTCGTGGCTTATCTTTGTAGATATATTTATCGATGGATCAGGCCATTGTCCCAACTCCATTGTTGCAATGTCCAATCTTTTTGTGAATGAATCTACATCTACTGGATTGTAGAGCTCAATTATTTTACCCTCCTTTTTTTACTGATAGACAAAACAGGAAGCCCCATCTATACTTTATATATTTTTTCCTTAGGACCTTAGTCAAATGCCTCAGGGCCCTCCGTTTGTCTAATGTTCGCTTGGACAAATCAGGAAAAATGTCTATGCTGACTCCATCATGATACAATGTCCCACACTCCCGTGCTTTGCTCATTATTTTCTCCTTTAAGTTGTAGAAGTGTATCCTCAACAACAGGTCTCTGGGATCTATGACGTTCAGCTCACGGACCCCTGGAATCCTATGCAGTCTGTCAATTTCCATCTCTGTGGTCGCTGGCTGCCCCGGCAGTTTATTTAATATCTCCAGGACTACAGATCTCAACTTTCGCTCTTCAACCACCTCTGGTATTCCTCTTATACGGATATTATTTTGTCTGCTACGGTATTCCTAATCGTCCATCTGTGTGCGCACTTTCTGTAAAGTATCATGCTGCAGTTGCAGGATCTGTTGTATCTCTGGAATCCCGCAATTCCAGCATGTCCTTCTTATGTTCCTTCCCCACTTAACTGAACATTTTTGCAATGTCCCTCTTTGTGGGCACCGCCGCTAGGTAATCACTTATCGTTTGTGAGGTCTCTAGCAGGTTCTCTATGTAACTTCCTTCCATCTATGATTCCCCAGGTGAGACAGGAAGGGAGCCCCCCTGCGAATTTCCATCATTTTCCATCTGCTTCCTTATTGCGGCCATATTAGATACATTTTTTACAAAAAAGCAACTTATATCCTGGCCTCTCTCTGCTGGTGGTCTAGCAATAGGGGTTTGGGTCCCTTCTATGTAATGCGGCCCATCTATGCAGCGAAAATGGTATATACTGTCCAAGCAGTTTATCAAGCAGATTACTAAGCAGCTTATTTCTCCTCCACACCGTCTCTTACTCCCACTTTACTTATCTCTCAGATGCTGACGCAGACAGGCCGTTCGTCTAGGAGCCATTCAGCTCTGCTCCTTAGGACTCTCTGATTTTTGGTTCCGTGCTGCATCCCCTCTCTCAATCAATCAGTACTTGTCATCCTCCCTCTAATTGCTGCTTCAACACACTGGCTTCCCCTCTCCCGGGTTAGACGCTGGAGCTCTCAGTGTGCACGTCCACCCGCAGCCATCTTGGAGCCGTTTACTAGTCCTTAGATGTGGTGGCTGCATTAGTTTCCTTTTTTCCTAATCCTGTAAATAACACACTTCCTGTCTTATTGTGGTGACGCTCACTCCACTGTATCTATGGAGGAATCCATAATTGTCATCCCAGGACAAGACTATAAACAT